TGTGATGAAGGCTTATCTGCTAATATGCGCCTTTCACGCTCATGCGGTGTGAACAAAGTTTATTACGTAGATTGCTTTCGAGAATCGTTCACTGGCATAGTATATGGTTGTAAAAGAGTGTCGCGGTGCAAATGCATCTCAGGCTTTGTCGGAGGGAACAGCAAGTGCCTTCCGGTTCCAACAATTCGTGCTGTTCGTATTAACAATCCGGATTCCAATCATTATTTTATATCCAGTTGTAAGTAATTCTGTCATAAACGAACTGCTTTGATAGATGTATTTTTAAAAAGAATCAGCCGGAAATATAACTCGAAGAAACCAATATAATTGAAAAATATAATTAAAAATCAGTGAAAAATCTATGCAGAAACCTTTGCTTTATATTTCTTTGACGAGATAAACTATTTAAAATATTATTTGTAGAAATTTTAGTAAAAATGAAATTTTCAGGAAAATGGAAAAAATATTTAAAAATTACTATACAATCGACGAAAAACACTTTTTGATAAAAACTTATATAATCTCTTTATCGGATTTGAATTATTTTTCTCCTATAAATGAATAATTTTGTTTTCTTAATAAAAGTTGCTTCGAAGACGAATTTCTCTTTTATTTTTACAGTTATTCCTTAAATTTTTTGTTTTTATGCAGAAGAATTGAGACAAAAAGAAAATCCAATACGCTCTGTGAACTGTACTTAGATCTACGAATTTTGGTTAAATGTAATGACAAAATTTGTAAATTGAAAGGAGAAATTCTTATCTTCCTTATAGAAAATGCAGGAAATAGATGGATTTTAAAATTTCATAGTCAAAATGAAATTCGGCATTTTATTATATTTCATGAATTTGAGCGGCCGATTCTATTTCCTTTTGCTCTGAAAACTTAAAGGTTCCATCAACCGGAAAAATTCTGGAGCAAACATAATTCCAGCCTTGGAGCATCGCTAAAGCAAGAAAACATTTGGGAAATAATTTTGCAAAAATTGCTCAGCGATTATTCGGATGGATTAACGGAATACAATATGCTCGTTCTCGGTAGCTATTTTTCAGGATTAGTCGTTAGAGAAAAGTTCAGCCAGAAAAACGGTGAAATTGAAAGAAGTCGAATCGAATCAATGCAGAAACCCGCATTTTTGAAAATATTCAAATGAAATATCATTTATAGCGAATTTTTAGTAAAAAATGAATTTTTTACTTAAAAAAACAATCATTCAAAATATTATGCAAATCGCGCGTAATATTCTGCGATAAAAACGTATGTAATCGCTCGAAATAAACCGATTTGAAATGTTTTTTTTTCAATAAATAAGCAATTTAACGAAAAAAGCTTTGAAAACTTTATTTCAATTTCTGTATTTTCTTTAAATAAAAGAGATGAAAAATGAAAAGCAAATCTATGCGCCCATTGCGAGTAGTAACATAAGTATAAATGAAAAAACACGGCTATAATTTGTTAAATTACCTTACCTTTTCTGGGAAAATGAAACTTCTAAACTAAATTCTGCGTTTCACTGGCTTATCTAAATTTGCACAATCGTTTTCTTTGCTTTATGTGATTTTTGCATTATAAACTTCGTGGTTTAGGATTATTTCATCGATTGCCTGTGGAACCATTATTATTGTATTTTTTTATGGTTTTTTGATAATTTTAATGTCAATTAGTTAAGTTCATTAGTGGCTAAACCGTTGAACTTTCTAATAATAATTTATGCGACAATATCTTGGGAAATCTATTTGTATTATCGAATTTTGAAAATTGCAATTTGTTCAAATATTTGGGTTTTTAAATCAAATTTAAATTTATTAAAAAAAATTTATCGAATTTTTTTATACGCAATTTGTTTAAATTTTCAATGGATTTTCCAAGAAACGACATAGTGAATCTCAGAAGAAAGAAACAGTAGATCGTTCGACAAAACTTGGTACGTTCAAAATAATCTAAATTTTTATGCTAAATATAAATCTACGTATTTTAGATCGATTTTAATGTTCAGTCAGCTTTTAATTCATATGTTGTTAAAATTTGCGATACATTCATTTATTTAAATTTAATTTTTTGATTTTTAATCTGTTCAAATATTTTGATATTAATTTTCACAAGGCTTATCGATAATTATAATTTGAAAATTTAGAAATATTGATATTATTTAGTGTATATTTCATATTGCCCAACTCTTTTTTTGTACATTTTTGTTCAGCTTTTGGATTTGAACACTGATAATTCAATTGCGAACACTTCTTCGTGTCCACTTAATAAATTTAGAGATGAAATTATTCGTTTAAATTTTAAATCACATTTTCACCAGAATATATTCAAGAAAAAATGAATCGATGAACATTTCTTCTTTCTTTTCTTCTAATAATGCCATAAAATTTAGCTGTTTTTTTTAAGAGTCCTCACAACTACTAATTTTACTTGTTCCACTGGCTTGTCGCATTGGGCAATATGCGAGGGAGTTCCTTGGCGATAGAAATACAGGTGAGCGGTCAGCATCACTCGGATTTTTGCACAAGTTTATTCCTGCAAGGATTTGAACCCCAGCATCGACGCTCCAAATGGAGCAACAGCCCACTGAGCCATTCTATCCCCAGATTAATTTAGCTATATTGATTTCTGATTGAGTCTGGAATAAAATTCGCTGATTTTGAATTATTTTGAATTACCTTGAAATTCTAGATTAATTTGAAACTATTTTAATAATTTTATCTGTCAGAAAAATTTTTTTAAATTTAAGTTCAACTTTTCTTAAGTGAAAAAAACAAAAGCATTGCAGAAAATTGTTTGCAGATATATAAAAATTTATTGGCTGAAAATTGTGCTTATAAATTCTATTTAATTTAACTGTGCAATTTTTTGCGTTCCGGTGAAACCGATCTAAAGTAGTATTGGCGGGGAATTGTGGTGGTTTTGGTGCAAAATAGTGAAAATCACTTTTCACAACTGATTAGAGATAACTGAATGAACGGTAAGGTTGTGCTATGCCGAAATTATGAACAAGTTTTTTGAGTTTTTCGTTATATTGTTCTAATACTATTGTTTTGCTAAATCATTTTTAAAAGGTCCAATGTTTTTCTTTACCATCATTTCTTACCGCAAACGATTTGCTTGCAGTGGAAGCCTCTGCAATTTAATAGCTTGTCCTCCCTCTTCCCGCATCCAGTGATATCTTTTTGATATGGTAAATATCTAAATACTATCTAAACTATTACTAAATATTATATTGAGATGTAAGAGTTCATGTTTTGCTCCTGACACGTGTAAACTGGCCGTTAAAAAATCCGAGTAATATTGGTGGTCAATTTTTTTTCCATAACAAAGTAACCCGCTGGTAAAAATTTCCAACCTTACTAGCAATCTAAGCAGTCGAATAAAATCTTTTATATCATATGTATTGGTATATGTATACGTAATGGAGCGTGCAAAAGCTTTGAGCCCTGAGGAAGAATTTTCTTCTAGTACAGTGGGCGTTGAATGAGATAGCAATTATGCATTTAAGATGAGAGTATATGCGGTACGCGATAGATCTTCAAAAAGCTTTGAATAAAGAAAAGAATTGCAAGGTAAAAATTGGTAATTTGGAACCTGGCTTTATTTTCTCACTTTCCGATTCATAAAGACCCACACTATGCACGTACAAACGTAAATGCAACCACAGAAAAACCTTTATATGGATAAAGAGAGTAGAGCAGAAGCAGCTATCTTAAGCGTAGGTTCCATCAACCTTTATCCCATTGCAAGAATAAATTAATTACTAAAATTCGATATGAGTGCTTCAGGCAATTCTCTGACAAGCCTTCTAGAAGCTTTGTAGACGGGATACGTAAGCAAAAAATGGGCAGTCAGCTGCCAAAATTTCCTCTCATCTTTTTGATTAAAAAAAGAAAATGTCAAGATGTTCAGTACTTATGGAGCCAATTACTCGTATGCACTCTAAATCTGATGATTACATGGACGATAAACTTATAGAGATATGATTTTGATAAATTGGCAGTGGCAAACATAGTAAAAGCCAGATTAAGAAAAAATGAATTGCAAACCAAGAAAATTTTCATGTCTCAAAATATCAAAAACAGATTCCTTCAAATTAAAATTTTTTCCATTTACGATTAATGGGGCAAATGAAACTTCTGTTATGTTGTTTGCAATACAATTAGGGTAGAGTTTCTATTCCCATTTCTTGACGAGAGCGAAGCTGTCAGTAAAAGTGAAATCCAAGCGATCTATCGATGCTTCCATCGACAAATGAACCACACCTATCGAAGATTCTTTGTGCTACTGTGAGTCGAGCAAAGCAAACCAGAAATGAGGAATCCTGCGTAAGAAGAATAAGTGCAAATTAAATTAAAGTAAAAGTGACTAATGGGAATTCGATTTTTCTTTCTCATCATATCGACAATAAACGCAGTTTTACGGAATATATAATGATAATTGAGAAAATGTTTTTTTTTTGCCGATGATCGACAATTGAAAGGTGAAATTTTAGTATACAATTATAATTAATAATTAATATAAGCTGGTTCTTCAGCGAAATTTATGGGTGCGTAAAAACCTCGTCTTGACCGACTTTGTTCGAATATATATAAGCAAGACGACTACATTCCAGCGCAATATTGTCGCGAAATAACCCTATATAAATGCTAATTGGGATTTTCATTTTTTCTCTTTGCGGGACTTCGGCAACCTTTCAATTTCGGTACATCGTTCTTTACTTTAATTTGTTTTAATAAATAAATTCCATAAATTTTGGTTTTCACTATAAATATTTATGGAGCCATTGATAGAAGCTACGATTGTCCTTAGTTAATTCAAGGACCACTCGATTCTCATCCCTTGACAAAAATGTGCTATTAAAAATGAAGGGTTGGTTGCTAGAGGTGAGGTTCACCTGCACCACTAAATGACTTTGTGGCAGATAGGTCCCATCCTATTAGTCAGTGGCGCCGAAACGAGAAATAAACATTGTTATTGAATATATGAAGATGTTTTAGACTAAAAAAATGGCTTTAAGGTTTTTCATGAAGAACATTCTTTCTTTCCTATTTTATTTTATTTTAATATAAGTTTAAGAAGAACAGAAAGGAGTGCAATATCAAGCAATAGTGATTTGGCACGTGAATTCGAGCATGATAGCAAGTGGGAGGATTCATTTGGTGGCCACGACAGCGGATATATTTTTAAAAAACACAGTGAAATTAATAACGACCGGCATGGGCATTACGATGCTGGAAAAGCTGAGAATGAAGAACATGCCAAAATCTTGAAAAGTGGAGGGGGTAAACATGCCGTGGCTGCTGCTGAAGGCGGTATAGAAAAGCACTCTGATGGAGCTAATGCTCGTGGTAAAGGTAAGTCACATTTCGCAAATTTCTTTCTCATTTTCATCTTTTCGAACTACAGATAGAGGCAATGTTTGTAATGTTCCATTATTGCAGATGTAAAGGCGAAGACTTTCGGTTTTTTCGACTATTTCTATAAGCAGCCAGAATATCATATTGAACAGTTTTACACCGATGAGAAACATGGCCATAGATTTGGAGCTGATCATCGCAATAAAGCAGTTAAAGATCATTCTAGAGGTGCTGATTCTTGCTCTTTTATTTTTTCACGATTCTTTACAGTAAAAAGCAATTTATCTCTCCTTATTCAGATTTGCATGAAGCAGCCGAATGGAATAAGCAACAAAATCGACATCATAGTGGTGCATTTGGAGCAGAAACACAATCGCATGCAGCTAATGAACATTCTAACTGGAATCACGATCGTCATAAAGCATATAATCATGAGAAAAGCCAAAGTTTTGCAAAAGGTAACCACTAAGATTTCCTTAATTTGATTTTTTAATATTTACATTTACATGTGGCACATTTCCTTAATCTCGATAAAGCAACATGGGCTTAATTCATATTCATATCTTTGATAATTGAGAGAGAGAGTGAGCTTAAAGATTTTCTTTAAATTCGTAGGTTGCAAATTCGACTCAAGAACAGAACTTCCTCCTCACATTTTCATCTTAGTTTGCCGAAAATGAATATGAAAATTTCGCTTTAGGTGAACATTCAGTTTCAAGCGAGGTTCATTCTAATTCACCTGGCCAACAAGAACATCACACATATGGCCATCTTAATAGCTAACTTCATTCACTTTCGAGCAATATTAAAAGAATTTCTTCAATATCAACCAACATCAGTTCACTTAATGTGGGTTTAAAATGTAGAAAATCGTTGTTTGTTCTCTGTTTTTCTTTCTTTAAGTCGCTGTATTTTTTGAATTTTGAATTTTTGAACTTTTTGAATTTGAATTGAATTTATCGACAATTTTGAGTTTTTTTACTTTATTGCTAAATAAATAAAATCTAATTCAACTGTTGGTGAATTAGACCAATAAAATTTTTGATGCCTTCAACAGATAAATTGTCTCGCAGAATTTCGGTCATAATACTTATTCTTTTTCTTCGAACAACACTCGCCATTTAATTTTTAGAAATTTAGACGACTATTATCTCAGATAATAACTTGGACAATAATCTGGTGATGTATATGAAACAATACAAATAAAAGCTTTACGGGTTCAACCGTGAAAATAATTATTTTGTTAACAAACAAAAGAACTTTTAGATTATTTGGTTATAGCAAAGACGCATTTATGACCAATTTCCTATTTATGGGAGAAAATTATAAAAAATAAATTCTTGGCCTGTAAGAATCTTAAGGTTATTGATCTTAAGGTTTATATAACTAACACTCAAAGCGGTAAAATGGTTCAGTGGGTTGTTCTCATTTCTAAGTGGCATATTAGAGTTCCGCTCGTTGAAAGAAAAGATGTGCCTTACTAAAAAAAACCAGGTAATGCTGTCGATTCATCTATTCATATCACCAGAGAACTCGAATGCTTACTAGAATTAGAGAATTCTTTTCCAAAAATACTGTTCGAACTTGTAAAGTAATGAGGAAAAATATTTTTGCATTATACGTCACCTTTGAGAAGTATTTTGACTAATTTTCTCATTTTTTTTAATTCTATAATTTTCTTGAAAAATTAAAAAAATTTTAAGATTTCACTGATTTTCATTTGTTCCTTTCATTTCCGTCTTCTTAACAATTAAACCATTAACGGAGCTGATTTTATGCAAAATTTGGATGCTATGCAAATTAAAATTTTAAAAATCAAAATTAAGAAAATAATGTAGGAAATTTAAATTATGCAAGATTTATTATAAAGTTATCATTTATCTTCGCGGATTTTGATGAGACTAAATTTTAAATCTAAAATGAAATGAAAATGGAAGAAAGTAAAGAGAGTGAAGATTGAAAAAATTGATCGTCCAAATAAAGAATATTGCTCTGAACTATAAATCCTTAGGTTATTTCCTCGAGTTATCTCGGCCGATTTGGTTTTTCGCCTATTTGTTCATCTTCCTATGCGTTGAGTAGAAATTCCACAAGTTACATGGAACATCCAAATAAATCGACCCAAATAGTTTTCAATATATAGTTAGGGTCAATTAAAAATAAAAGCACAGGTGGACCCTAGGTACCACGCATACCTGATACATAAATGCATCTATTCCAAAAATTTTCTGGAGATGAGGAAATATTCTATAATTTTTTTTTCAATGATATATTCACTTATTTAGGTTATAAAAAAATAATTTGTCGATTATTTCATTTATTAATATTTTTTAAAATAATTACTACTGAAATTTTATTTAACTTCCTTTTAATTTTATATTATATTTGCATAATAAAATATATTGGTGAATATTAAATATTACTGATAAAATATTTGCTGATAAAAAGTTTGCCAATTAATTATATCAATGTTTACTTAATTGACCATTTAAAAAGTTTTTGCTTAACTATATAGTAATAATTATCAGCATTAATAGGAATTCTATTTAATAACTTCATAAATTTTTTAGGAATAAGATCTTTTTGAATTCCGTTCCGGACAGAAAAATTTTCTAAAAATCCCACTCCACATTACTTTTATCACCAATATTTGTCGCCGCTGAGTGTTCTTAGAAAAAATAGTTGGTCTCATTTATTTTAATATTGATACTGATATTATAAATTTAATAATTTAATATTATTAATATTATTTTAACACTTGTATTATAAATTTAGCGATAGAGAGCCTTGTTACTAATAAATATGTCAAAAATTTAGACTTTTCAAAAGAAGGGCGGAATAGGATAATAAGCCTTGTTGCGAACAATCATTTAGATGTTGTAATTAGTGTAAAATTGCTTAATCGTGAAATGAATTGATCAGATGTCAGAAAACTTGATTATTAATAATGTCGGTTCGATGGCCTAATTATGGCAGTGGTATCCTTATAACCATGTCTTGCCATAGTGACATCCGTTTAATATTTGTCAACGGCATTATAATATTTTTCCACGATCCAGCGAAATAATAATTTATTCAAAGTTGGAATAAACTACTAGAAAAAAAAAATATTGGTAGTAAAAATTGTCTGGTGAAAATTGCTTTCTTGGCCTTCGTTTTTGCTTTTAGTAGTACTTATATTGACCTCTAATCTATTGAAATAAAATCGGCTTTATCATGGACATATGATGATATATGATTTCGATATATCTGGCTAATTATATTCACCTTTCGTCCTTTAATCTTCTAAGAACCATTTCACCATTCCTGATTTGTCGGGCTCCATTGATCGTTTTGTTCGTCCAAGCTAAAGGTACTCAACTACCATTCAGACTTCATTTTTAATGGCATATATGCTTTAGGCAAAAAGCCTTATCTACTCTCAGCCAAGGCAATTCAGCCGTACTTTTAATATCATTTTTGATGCATGAAATAATTTTGAAAATGAAATGAGCTAAATGTTATTACAAATATTAAATTGGCATTGACATTAACTTTTGAGCAAGAAGAACTGACCTTCTTCCTATTGCTCGCAACCCACATTGCAACTTCTTGATCTTTTCTTTCAGTAAAGTGATATGTAGAGAATTCAAATAAAGATATTTGAGTGGCCTATTTTGCCATTGAAATGAATAATTGATCCAGTAATTTGGCTGGAGTTTCGAAAAATTTATTTGAAACGTTTCAATCACCTCAAGATTTCTGATTTTCAGTTTCACTAAACTTGATTAATTGTTGAGGAAGAAATTTTTGCTTCGAGGAATTTTTTTGTTTATCTTTAATTTTGCATTCTCGTTCATATATTTCGCTTAATATTCTAATTTCTGTTGCGTATAATGTGTTTTCAAAACCAGCAAAACTTACTTGGATTGTAATGCTTAATACCTATATAAGCTATAAAATATTTCGGACAATTATGAAAGCTCAGATCGAAATTTGTTATTAAAAAGGTCGAGCAAAGCAAAAAGCCGTACGCTTATATAATGAAAATAATGTAAAATAAAAGCAAAATATAAGATGATAATGATAAAATGACAAAATAAGAAAGAAAAATCGCTAATATTGAGCAATTCTATTTAATTCACTTTTAAAATGCATGCTGATAGCGGCGTGAAAAGAATTCAACCCACCAGTAGTTAATGAAGTGAATTCATAAATTATCTGATTTACAGAATGGTTTCCATGTCATCATTCCACTACCTCTGGTACCATCCGAAAGTTAAAGAGGGGTCATGGAACCTACAGTATTCTAGATCAACATAAATACTATCCTTATAGATCGGATTTCGTTTCGACTGTTTTTTAATAAATGGGATCATTAAACTTGAGTTTCGTCATATAATAATAGGAGATTGGAACGCTAAAAAAAGCGCTAAAAATGTTTTTCGCAAATTTTCCACTAATTTAACAGATTTACTAAATCGTAAGAGGAATGGAACTGCACTGTCATTGTATTCTAGGTAAAAACTCAAATATTGATGAGAAAAGCTAAGGATTTTCAATTCGTAAAAGCTCTGAGAAACCAGATTAATGGTTAGCATGATGGGCTCGACAATTAATTTGAACGAAAAATCATCACTGTTCATCACTGTTTTAAGTAACCGCAACAAGAAAAAAAATATATGAACGATTTTAATATTATTTTACTCGAAATTGAAGGGGGTTAAAGACCCCTTTTAGCGTTGAGCAAGAAAAAATGCATCAATTGCCACCCGCAATAATAGTAACGTTTCCAGTATTCTATATCTCAGATTGTAATTTACCGGTCATAATAAAGTTTTAAAATGTTCTGCTTGAATAAATTTGACATAACTAGTCGCTAAAAAAGTTATCAACAAGAATTTGTTGATCGTCATGAATACAATCTTAGACGATTATTTAAACCTAAAAGGTTTTGTTAAGCAGCTTTATAGAAAGGATTAAAGAGAACTGACAAAAGGAAATTAGAAACCAGTTTATTCAAATGATTTCGATTTCCTCGTAGATTTTAGATGCGACTGCTGGAATGATTGGGAATAATCAGATTAAAAGTGATACACCAATGTATGATAATTTAGTTGCGAAATTTTTAGAAATTTCATATCTCTCATTTACTACACAAATGAATGATCGAAATCATTTCTTCTTTATTTTCATGATAAAATTGATCATAAAAATTAATATTTCGAGTGGTAGTGATTAATAATAAATGAACTATGGAAAATATATGCTCAGCCCTGATACTTTAATAATATCACTGAAATGTAAAATCCAGTTGGCTATTAGAGGTTCATATGGAGTTAATTTCTGGATCAAATCCTCTTTTTTTGTAATTAGCGGAATCAGCAAAGCGAACCAAAGTTATCATTTTTCTCTTTGAATGTAAAAAATTTTCTTTCATATAACAACAATGAAGATTGTCCGGACTGCAAAATTGAATTATATAACTCATATGCCATAATAAATAAATAAAATTTGGTTAGCGTTTGGCAAAAAATCTTTCGGCGAATATAAATGGCGGCCACAAGAAAACGGGATTGTATAAGCATTATATCATGTCAACTGCTTAACTGCCAGACTGTTTACTGTGATCAAATCAATGCCAAAATTTTGCCATAAAATCAATTTTAAGAAATTTATCGAATATTATCGCTTATCATCAAGAATTTTCATAAGTATTTATTATCTTGATTCATGCATTTCATTGTTTATCCTTTAAATTAGTGTCATGAATCCGTTAAAATCCTTTAAAACTCATTAAAGAATCACTCAACCATTTTATTCAAAGAATCATGCTTCCTATAATAAAAATATGACACAAACGTGTGTACTTAGATTTAAATTTTTTGCAATAAAAGCAAAATAATTCTTTTTTGCAATTAACAATAAAAAAAAGTAGCAAATTAATTGTCGATATCCCTAGGCGAAAATTAAGTTTTAGATTTCATGAAAAATTAGGTTTCATGAAAAATTTTCACCAAAAAAATCTTTTGATTTATCGCATAAGGTATCGCCCATTTTTAATAGAGAAGAAATATTGAAAAATATACATATTGAAAAAAATAAATTTACTTTGGCCTTATTTTATTACGACTTTTTTTGACAAATGCATCGATAAAATTGATTGATAAAAATGATAAAAATTATAAAATTTGAAAAATCTACAGTTGGTTTAAAAGGTACGGATTTGAATAGAAATTATTGAATTGAACAGTTCAGCATTTAAATTAAGTTAACTACATCATTATCTACATTATAGAAGGCGATCTATATAATCCTTGTCAAAACATATAATTATTATGAATTTTAAATTTTCTAAAAATTCAAATTCTAACATAAGTTTGTGGAAAAAAAACAATCACGATTAATGCACATTTAATAGCCAGGAGCAGTTCGTGGTGGAGGACAATGGTCGCATGCACCTGAAGCTCCTCGCTCTCCTTGTTGACCAGTATCTCCAGCTCTTCCTGCCTTTCCCGGCGGACCACGTTTTCCTGGATTGCCAGCAGGCCCTGGTGGACCAAGTGGACCTGCCTTCCCATTTGCTCCCTTTGGTCCATTAGGACCACGTGGGCCAGCCGGACCGGGACGACCTGGTGGTCCAGAAGGCACAGGGGTTTCGTTAAGTTTGCCTGCTACACCTGGAGGACCTTTCGGTCCTGCAGGTCCTGGTGGTCCTCGTGGCCCAGCTTGGCCAGATGAGCCTGGTGGTCCTCGTTTTCCACCGTCAGCATCCTTTCCTGGTTGTCCTGGTTTGCCTGGGGTTCCCTTAGGTCCGGGCCTGCCTGGTGGACCCTGTGGTGCATCTTCACATTCATTTGTACATGTCTGCAAAATATTCTTTGTAAAAAATTATACATCAAACTTTTATGTCTGGCAATGTTTGTATTTTATATAATTTTTATATAATTTTATATGATTGCACAATAAAAACAAAAAGTTTATGAAAACAATCGGTAAATTCCCAGCAGGAGGGTATTTCGTCTTTGATTCATTGAAACAGAAAACAATATATGAAACTTTTATGACACTTAGGGTTCGAGTTCGACTACTTGCAGACTACTTGCAGAAACTAAACCTGCTATTAGCCTCTGTAAACCAACCTAATATATTTGATTTTTAATTAATTTTATCATTTAATTTTATCATTTCTTTCATGCTTATATGGTTATACAGTTGCAGTAGCCAATTTTATTCAATTTTTTGGTACTTCGTCATAGAGAAATTGATTTTAATTAAGTCTAAGCATAAGCCTGTTTCTCTGAATTAAGAATAATATTGGGGGCATTCAAAAAAAATCAACTTCTTCGTGGAAAACCCAAAAAAGCCCAATCGGATTTTAGTCTTCGAAAATTTAGGCCTAATTAAATAATGCTACTTAAAATAGTTTTTCTAGGCTATATAATAAGCATAAAAATAATTTGCAATCAAATGCCATCTTTCGAACCAGTTTAAAAGTGGTGTTATGTTTAACTTCCTTATCATTCAGTTTCTTTTTTTCGAGAATTTCGCTTGATACATGTGACCGCAATAAAAAACCAATGACTAATAATAGAAATAAATAATAAGAGAAGAAACTTACTGGTGCTTTAGGTGGAGCAGTCGCTTCTGGTGCATCAGGTCCATCTCGACCAGGAGTACCTGGTTCACCATCAACTCCATCTCTTCCATCAGCGCCTGGTGCACCAGGGGGTCCTTGCGGAGCTACACCACATCCACAGCACAAACCACTAGAACGTACAGTTCCTTCTACCGCATGTGATGGAGCAGCTGCACCAGCACTGGAACCATACGGAGCGTATGCACCATACGCGTTTGGTACATTTTCAGTTGATTCATATCCATAACCAGCTTGCCGTTTACTAGGTACACTGCCGCCAACTTTTGTTAAAGCCTTTAAAGAGAAAAAAAATGCTAAAAGTTTAGACGAAAGATTGCATGAAGGAAAATTTGCAATTAGTCAATATTTACCTGAGTACGTATTACTTCTCGTAAAATATTATTCGATCTTGACTTACAGAAATCAACTTCGCTTTGCATAACTGATTGCATATGTTGCATATAGTTGTAAAACATTGGTACGGCTATAATACATATAAAAGTTGAAATAGATGAGAGTGCGATTCCGAGAAAAGCAATCCTTCGCAAGCAGTTTGCTTGAATTTGTCGATCCTTTATCGTTGTTTGATCCATAATAGTTGTCGTTGTGCTAGAAAACAACACAAACGAATTGTATTAGTCGCCTTTGGTAGGCAAACAACAACGACGATGACAAAAGAGTGGCAGTATGTTTCTTCGTCTTCCACTGTTCTGCCTTATATATAAATCTTTACTGGTTCTTGCGGAATTTCCTTCCAAGGCACTCCCACAATACATGCGAATTCATCGCCTTTTCAGATCTTTTTTTTCCTACTTTCCCCACTGAAATTCCTATTGTCCATCAGCTATGCTATACATATGTCACTTCCCGTTCTTCTTTTTTTTGTATCTTATTCACACCAAACTTTTCTTTCGCTTTCCCTATTTTTTCCTTATTATTCGGCATCATTTTCGTCAAAAAACAACAAATTTTCCATTATTGCATCATTTATATGTTGAGGAACAGCTTTTACTCTATTATTTGATGAATAGCCCATTCCTATGAGTCACTTTTAATGATAAGTTTACCACAGTTAAAAGGGAAATTAGCTCGGACTGAACGGGAAGGTCGAAATACGGCGCGAATGCGAGGATCTACGAAATCCCAGCTTTTACATTTCGCTTATCAATGGATTGTTCATAAAAATTTAGCTTAAACTGCTATCAAATATGCAGAAATTTAAATATTTATCTCTAATTTCTAATCATACTCAATCATTTGTGGAAAGATATAGGGAAGGATATTTCTCTTCGCGTTAAAAAATTTCGCCAATTTCCTACATTTTCAAAATTCACTAATTTTTTACAATACTTTCATCTTTTAATATTTAATTCCAACTCGCTTTGCTGATCAATAATACCGAATATTATCGAAAAGTGTGAAACTTGTTTGATAATCCATTTTCGCAATTCATTTGAAACAATTTTCGCGCCTCAGGATAAATTTAAGATGGAAAATAATACGATTTGTTAATCCACAATTATCAGCTAATAAAAAAAATTATGCCGAGAAAATCTAAAGAATCAGTGGACCATTCGTTCTCGTTTATTTAATTAATCTTCCTTATTTTATTGCAATATTGTATTTTTCTTTGTTCCACTTCAGACTAATTTGTACTTTTCCTCCAGGATTATTTATAAGTTTGCACTTCTCGCGACGATTCTACAGATACTTTACAGATTTTCAAGAAAAAACCAATTTTCAATTAATAAAGAATTCGGTTATCCCCACTGAATGAAAGAAAAAAAACGTCTACATTTGGTTTCATAAAGATTATTTTTATACGCAATTAACTTGCTCTTGTGAATTTTATGTTTGAAATTGGAATTTATTGGCTTTCAGTGATATTTATCTTAGATTGCAATTACTAAGTAGTGTCAATAATGTCATTTCGAGGAGGATTTATTTTATATTTGTCATCAATCTTCATCTACCATTTCGATGAAAATTTTATTGGATCATTCATCACATATGGATCATTTTTCTTGCATTTTAATCTAATGCTTTCCAATCCAAAAATATTTTCTTTGTTATTTATCAATTAATGGAAAATTATGGCAAAATTATCCATTGAAAAAATCTCCATCTGGATAATAAATCCTGCCAATTTGTATGATAAAGAATCGGATGGTGAAAAATGTTTTTCTCAATCCAGCTGATTCATTGGCGAAAGGGCATTGACCTAAAAGTCGATAGGGCCATTTTTCTAATGAACTTTTTTTCAACTTTTATTTTAGGTCCATTTAGAACAAATTCATAATTAGTAATAATAATAATAACAATAATAATAATAATGATAATAATAGTGGCTTTTCGATAAAATAACGATATCAGTAATATCGAAAATTTCTCTTATTATTTCTTGCCTTTATTTCTTTTAAGCCTATTGTTCATGGGATTTAAAAAAAATTAGAAGCTTCATCAACTTGAGATGATTTTTCCCGATAAAAATCGTCCATATGAAAAAATTTGGCGCAATATCCGAAACGCATTTAAAGATAGTCCCGTGCCTCATTTCTCCACTAATTTGGCAACCAAATAGAATTTCAATGTGAATCTCAGATATTTGATTTAAGCCTTTTTTTATAGTGGTGCAAATTCATTACTCGAGTCCTTTATCCAAAATTTTTTTCAAGCAAAAGTTTTATTTCTACTTGCCGGATATAATTTCTTTCTTCAATGCGATATTAAAACATTTGTATTTCTCAGATTGATTTTTTTTCAAAAAATTGAATAATTTTTTTTTCAGATTTGATTATATAAGAATTGTTATGAAATGCTTTCTTTAATGATTTCAATAACGACTTTGATAACAATAATAATGGCTTTTAATTAATCATAGAACCACCGATTTCAATATTCTCGATTTGACTGAAACAATGTTCAAAAAATTTGAAATATTGGTAATTCATAAAGTACCAAAAATTATTTGTACGTTCGGTGGTGAATTAAAATACAATACGAAAAAATTTTAACAAATTTATTAAATGAATAATATCGAAATTAAAAACAAAGAGAACTGCTATTTTAAAGCATTTCTTTGAATCATAAATTTTCTTTGTTGACCATCTCACTTGTCGTTTTCATCGTCGATTTTGGCTAAAATTAATCAGCCAAAATTAAACGAGAATAATAAAAAGGTTAATAAGATGAGATAAGAAATAAACAGAAAAAACCGGGAAAATCGTCAAGAAATAACGGAACAAACAAAATTAAATTAATTTAATTTTTTCTTTGGTATTTCTCTAAATTAATCATTTTCGCTATCGGTTACAGGAATTATATGATTAATTAAGCCAAGTGTAGAACGAATAGAACTGATTGGTTACAAGCATTAGGCTTCTTCTACGAGTAAAACTGTCCTTCAACAAGTCCTACGTTAAATCACTTGAAAAATTTTTAACCGCGACTACAAGAAAGTGAAATAGCACAACAAGAAATAGTGAAAATTTATTTATTTCTATGTTACATTAATAAATGAAAATTGTAAAAATCTTCAAAGAATTTTTTGTTTCAACGATGAACTCTTTTTTGGAGGAAATTTTTCGACGATTTATCATCACCAAGCAATGAACCATAAATACGCGACATAAACGACGGCAGTAACTTTCCTATTTTTGCATCAGTTAAATTATACGCTCGGTTGATTTGCTTAATTTTTTATCTATTAAAATCTGTTTTTTATTCATATATAGTTCCGGCAATTTTATCAAAATCAAAAACAATAGACAATCAAATGAGCAATGAGAATTATAAAATTTATAGAAGCTGAATTTTATTAAGAAAAACTGATAGATACCTGTTTTTTCTTTTTTACAAACAATTTATTTTCTGCTAGAGTGATACGATAAAATCTTTTCTTTGAAAAAATTATTACCAGCGTTTCAGCAAAAATGCCATGATTTAATTTTATTTAAATTTATTTTATTTTTTCCCGAAAAATTCGATTCAAAATGTAGAAGAGCCTTAGGGAAATCTGTGGAAAAAGGCTGTAGCAATTGTTCGTCGATCGTTTAGTTTGGCTATCAGTTTATGCATAAATTTCATTGAGGTGGGAAAAAACTTGGTTATGAATCAACTTTTTTTTCGCACTTACGCATTAATAATTCCTCTTTTGGCTGGCTCCGATGATTATTTATCTAATGATTATTTTGGAGGTGGAAACTACGATGGAATTTCGCAGCTATATCACCAAAAAGAGCATTAAATCACCAATAATTTAACATCCTCTGTAGTTAAGGAGGAAAGAGTTCAGTGGCTTTAAGAAAAGATTTGTTAGCTTCCATGAAACATCCAAAGAGTTCCATTGTGCAACAATAGATTATGAATCTTTGATTTGCAATAAAACGATTTTGAGTCGTATGTCTTTATCTGCATTCATTATTTTCCCCTCAAATATAAATGATTTTTTATGTGATGCTTTTGAGGAAATTGAAGAGGTTTGAAAAAACTGGTTTTACAAAATCTAACAAATTGTGCAAATCTGATAAAACCAAACATAAACCGAAGTATAAATTAATTTTTATGATATAAATATTTGTTTGTTTTATAATATTTAAATAATATTAAAATATATACAATATATTATTTATTTTCGCAATATAAATATGTATATTTATTTGTTTTATTTGTTTTTGCAATATCTTTGCAATTTGTGGTAATTTGATTTATAAATTGACATGTTTTTTTGAATTTTGATTTTTTTATAAAAAATTATTCTTTTTTATTATTCTAAATTTTAATAATTATTCTAAAATTCTAAACAGAACAATTTTTTATAAACTAAGAAAAGCATTAGAAGTCGAATTATATTCGATGGTTATTATGAAAGAAATTACAATGGAATCACTTATGAAAAATAACTATTATATGTGTTATGCCAATAATGTTTCGTAATAAAACATGGCAAATGCAAAAAAAAGGAATTTTTTATGAGATAACAATGGCTTGATCGACTTTTATATGAACAACAGATGGCGATGATGATAAAAGATAATTCATTGATTATGAAGATTAATCCAAGATAAATTCGCCGCCATTATCCACATTTTGCGCTTATTTTTTTTATCGATGGCTTTTTTTTGAAATATGCTGCCAGATGAAATCGTTTCCTTTAGAAAAAGAACAATAGAAATATTTGGCTAAAGTGGGAAGCAGCATAATTGAATAGGATATCGCCTAGATTATGATTCGAATATAACGACTCGAAATGTGCCTTTGCACCTGCCAGCAATAAATGTATCACTTAAAAATCCTAGCGATGATGGAATTCCACATATATTTCTGTCTTTCTGCCTCATTCTAATAGTCAGAGTTGCTAGAAATGTGGTTACTGCTAACCAGTTATTTATTCCCAACAATAATGAAAGAATCAAGATAACCACTTTTTTCAGACCAAAACATCTTAAAATGCAAGAACTTCTATAATTTGTTCAATGAGAAATCATCGATATGTGTTTATTTAAGAATCCGATCAGGTTTTGACGCTTTACGGACTGCATGAGGTAGAAATATAGAAATAGTAAATAATAGAAAAATGGAATAAAAATCAGAA